GCCTTTGACTTGTGCAACTTACACACGGGACCTCCGAGATTTTTTGCTCTAGTCCAAGAAGGCTAGGTGTAGATCTTTCTTACCAACAGACCAGGGGTGTGGCTGAAAGACAGCAGTAAGAGGGACCCAAAGAGTAGCAGTCGATAGGCTGCAGAAAGAGTCACAAGCCCAGAGGAGGGGAGAAAGGAGGTGAGGGCATGGGGACAGACAGTGGAGCCGAAAGCACATATATGACAGAATATTGTTAGACAGAGCAGGAAAGGATGTGAAAGGAGAATTTTCCGTCATTACCCGGATTCGAACATGGGATCTATTGATTGAGAAGTGAACACCTAAACCTCTAGGCCAAGAGGGTCCCCTCTAATTTTATAAAGACCACTGATTTTTACTAAAAGCACTAAAAGATATAGATCGCTAGCCACGTGATTCAACCGCCTAAGTGACAAAATTTTCGAAAATCACTTTTTGATTCCTTTATGTAGTACAGCCTTTGATACACCTGATGTTGATAATCCTGAGTTTGAAGATTACTGCAAAGTGTTTCAATCCTTCAGTAAATCAATCACCTATATCACACCAGTCCCCAATTTCCACGTGATTCAACCACCTAAGTGCCAGTTCTGCAGCCCAGTGGCGAAGATTCAGTGGCTTGTTGGTGTTCACCTGTCGCGTAGGCAGCGTGACCCACAGGACTGTGGCCTTTGTCAAAACAGACTGAGGGAAACATCAAAACAACCTTTGCTAACTTCGACTCAGATTGAACCCTATCGATAGCCAGAAGATTTTGTCATGGCAGTTTGCATAATCTATCACTAGGTTTGGTAGTGTAGTTGAGAAAGGGCAAGATAGCATCAACGAACAATTATGTTGATACTGACTCGAGTAAGTCGGTAAATTTTGGCAAAAGCTACTAATGAATGAATTCTTTTAAAAGTCTATGATTGACAGCAAAAGGGCACTTAGTTCACATTCAGTACAAATATTGGAAAGTATTTTTATCGCGACTTTTCACGTTTTTTAAATTTACTTTAAGTGTGCGCCTCTTGCTGTGTTTGTCATGCACCATTCTTGAATCATTGATTAGTTAATCAGTGCCGGGTAGATGATTCTTAATTTGTCACTCAAAAAAAAAAAGCAACTCATAAACATATTCACCCCGAAAATTCTCTCTTCAACAAATCTTCAACTTCAACTCTCCAGCTAATACACTTTCATTTGAAACAAATCTCCGGTGACAATCTACCTGTATGCAAAACAATGAATTTGTATACAACTCTAACAAATGAAAATGCCCTCACACAGTGGTTATTCATGACTGTTGCAGAGACAGTTGAGATGACTTGGAGATGGGAGCTCCATGATTGTCAAATTACCAGAGAGCAGAAGAGGAAGAAGCAATTTTGCGGTAAGTTATTCTTCTGTAAACTTGACGAAATTGCTTTCCTATTACTACAGACTACAGACAAAATCTATTTTGACTATCACTTTCAAAGCCTCAGAGGCCTTTACAGAGTACCAAAGAAAACAGGCAGAGTCACACATTGTCTCAGGCGACTTTAGAGAGAGATATTCAAAAAGAACAACTTGTTGTTGTAAGTATCGGAAGGATCAATGTGATGTAATCAAGGTAAGGGGTAAATGGAAAATGGCCGTTTGTACAGGTGGCCGTCAGGACAGGTTCGACTGTAACTGGAATAAAATTACTCTGACTTTATAATTACTCTTAAATTAATTATGGTTTGCTTTTGTCAATAACTCAAACGTCCAATCGATCATTGGCGCTCGACAAGTGGCGTTGATTAACGTGATTCAAACACTTAGACGCCATCATATGTATAGTGTCACTTAGACTTAGGCGGTAGAATCACACAAATTTTGGCAGGTGTCTAAACCACCTCAATGTCCAGTAACTTATGTGAGAAAGTTTTTCGGAGATATTTAACTTCAAACATTCTCACTTTTATCTCAAAATCAAAGGAGATTCTAGGGTACTACTGAAGAATGTGGGTCCCATCTATTTAGACTTGGCATCATCCACACGGAGTACTGGATATCGATACTGATTTAAATATTCCATAAGCCTATCGATGTTTTATCAGTAGCATACAAACTGCGCAGAACAATTTCACTTGTTTAACAAGCCAAGGGGGGTTACGGGGGGGGGGGGGACTCCTGAATTTTTACCATAATTTGATGTTTTGCAATTATTTTAGGTTTGATAGGGTATCTCTCCAAATAGATATAGAATCTAGATCTATTGGCACGCACGTAAAAAAGTAATCCTTTAGACTTAGAACCAGAAAAAATCGTCGGTGGGGTCAAAACTTGGAGTAACTATATAGGGAGAGGCCCTAACGTTGCGTCGCCCGCTCAACAGTTCCAACCAAGTTGAAGCCGAAAGGGCGGAGCTTATCGGGCCTGCCGCCATCTTTGTAAGTTCAAAACAATGCAGCCTACGCAGCGTAATCTCCTTCCAAAACAATTTAAACAAGCTGCTCGGACTCCATTTTCTCTCAAAATTTCTTTGTCAATGTTAATTACAGCATTATAAGCACTCACGTACAGTTGTAATGTAATAAGGATGTTAACAAATCTTACTTGCATCAAATTTCCAGCTCATTTAGTCGAATATTTACAGTAATACGTGTACTATGTATACACATTGTGATGGTAAGATATTCTGTTTTACATGTTTTAGAGACAAAATTGGGATAATAAGGATCAAAACAAAATTATAAACGGGATGATAACATTTGCTGAGTTTTTGGTAGTCGAACTTCATTATTTTTACAAAAAACGAAGACTTCTTGATAGTAACAATATAATAAGGACAGCAAGAAATCTTACTTGCATCAAATTACCAGCTCACTCAGTCGAACATTTGGTAATACATGTACTATGTATACACATTGTGACGGTAAGATACATTTTTTAAACTTGTTTTAGAGAAGAAATTGGGATAATAAGGATCAAAACAAAAATATAAACGGGATAACAAAATTTGCAGACTTTTCGGTCATAGAACTTCATCAGTGCAAAATGATGTCATCACTGACATTATTTTTACAAAAACGTAGTCTTCTTGACTTAAACTTACAACAGAATATATTTCTAACAAAATTGAAAATGATTACACAAAAGATGGTAGTGAGGGTGGGATGGGATGGGCGAAGAATGAGGAAGGAGAGGGCAAGGCAGATAAGAGTAAGAGTGAAGTATGATGGTGGAAATTACCCCCCCCCCCACACACACACAAAAACAAGAATAAAACAGCCCCCCCCCCCCAAATAAAGCGAGGAGGGAGGGGCACCTTTAAAACACCAAGACACTTTATCTAAATTTTACAAAATACTGTTATGGGTATTGAAAAATTAATAGAGAATTTGAAATGATAGACTTATAATAAGAAGATTTTCAAAACAGATTGCACTAATTTATGACATTTCACTCTTGACAATGTCACACCCCGTGCACAGACAGACGACACATGGCATCAAAAATGTTATTCACACACCAAACACACTTCAATGACATTCTTTGAAGGCACTGTCGAACCTCCGACGAGACTTCAAAAAACAGCAAGGAATTTACTTTTGACACATTGGAGTCAACAAAGGCGTATGCAAGTTGCGCACGTTAAAGATCCCTTGGTGGTCTAAAATCGATAAGAGTAGGCTTCGGCCGCCACCCGGGCAAAAATTCAAAATTTCCTACCAACGAAAAAGTATTAGGTGTGTCCCGCGCACTCATATGACCTTATGCAGTTGCGAGCGCCGTAAAACCCTATACTAAACAAACAAAACAACGAAGGCACTGCCGAACCTCCGACGAAACTTAAAAAAACAGCAAGGAATTTACTTTTGACACATTGGAGTCAACAAAGGCACCGATGCAGGTTTCACGTTTTCAAATGCTTTGTCAACCTTAACAACACAAAACCAGCAATGTAAGCAACATGCAGAGCAAATTGACAAGTATGCTAGACTAGATCTAGGCACATACGTGCAGTTATCATCATGGCAAACTGAATTTTCTGAAATCTTTTTTCATTCTGTTTTTACTGTGAGATGCATTTACGGCTAAATCAGAGGGCACTTTGTCATCAAGTTCAGTGCCATTGCTAGAGACTGATATTTTTAAAAACATTTGGTAAGAAATTTTGAATTTTGCCTGGGTGGCGACCGAAGCCTACTCTTATCAATTTTAGACCACCAAGGGACCTTTAATTTGCGCAATTTGCATACGCGACCTCCGAGATTTTTTCGCCCTTGTCCGAGAACGCTAGGGGTAGATCTTTCCTACCAGAAGATCAGGGGTGTGGCTGAAAGACAGAGGTAAGAAGGAGCCAAGGAGTAGCAGTAGAAAGGCTGCAGAAAGAGTCCGGAGCCCTGAGGAGGTAGGGGCAGAAAGTGGAGGTGAAAGCAGACGAAAGAGAAAGTAGAAGTTTAGAGAACAAAATTTTTCCGTCACTACTCGGATTCGAAACCAGGACCTTTGAATGAGAGGCCCACCGGACCCGAACGCTACGCAAACTGCCATTCGGTTGACACTAAGTTTACAACTGAGAGAACTGAGCTGATCTCACAAACATGGCCGACAGTCGTCTGCAGCGGCTTCACGTTACGCGACTCGCGGCCTCTCCTATTATAGTTCCTCCAAGGGTCAAAACAAGTATCCCCAAACCGGACCCAAATTCTTAAGTAGTATATCTACCAAATCTTTCTGTCTAGAATCTAGACTCTAGATCTAAATCTAATAATCAAGCACTTCTCCAATTTTACACGATCAGTGCTAACAACACAGAGTCCGAGCAAAATTAGAGATTTTACCGCATCTGTTTCAACCTTTATCCCACCCAACGCCAACAACGTCCAAGGTCTAGATTCTAGATCTACGCCTGAAGTAACTAGACTAATAAAGTAAGATTACATAACCGCGGCTGACTAGAATCTAGATCTAGATCTAGATTATATCTAGATCTAGATTCTAGATCTAATTACATGAAATGAAATGTAAGCGCCCCGCCATGGCCTCTGTTGTTCTGTCACACTATGATGCTGTGTGGAGGCAAAAACTTCCCCACCCAATACAAGTTTCAGTTTAGATCTATTTATTAACCTAGATTTCAAGATGCCACATTCGAAGTGTAACACTATTCTCCAGGTGGACCAAATGCTGATACAAGAAAACAGGATGAAAACAATAAATGAAATAAAAATCGACAATTTATAAAAATATTTTCCGTCAGACTCACAGGATAATCTTTCGACAACGGGACACTGCTGGAACGTGGCACCGTAACTACTGAACACAACTTCCTACTTCCTGTCCATGCGTAAATCCAAATGAACGGCTGCAAATAGAAACGAAACGAGAAACTACATTTCATCACGCATGTTTTGTAAAGTAGACTGGCTTGTCATTGTCATTGAGTAGGCCTAAAGGAGAATTGCGTACATTGCGTAGAGCTAAGACTTAGACTCTCTAGTTTGTATTGCAGTGCATTTCCAAGATTGTTAAAATGTCTTATTGTAAAGAAGAAGGTAAGCATGATTTGCCTTGTGCAGACTGCTAGATCTAGATCTAAGCTATGGTAAAACCACCCGCTTTTTGTTTTCTTTAAAATGCAGCTTTGACTTTGGCAAACTGGACATTCCTTTTTGTTTTGACAGTGTAACTTTATTAGTCTGAAGGCCTGTGGTTATGGTTACGTGATAAATGATAAATTTTGTGAATTTATGGGAGGATTTCCATTTATGCGCAACCACTATGAGACAGTGGAAAGGGGGGTAGGGTAGGGTTTGAGTTAAGGCAGGGTAGAGTTAGGGTAAAGGTCTCTTCTACTTCTTACTGTGTTTGTTGGGGTGGTTGCTCGTTATGGAAGTCCTTCCAATTTTATCTAGATCTAGAATCTAGATCTAGATCTAGATATCTAGATCTAGATATATCTATTGTTTTTCAAAAATAGGATGATCTATTGACTTATTATTGTTTAGAAACGCAGTGCCACTGACTGTACTGTTGTGTCTTTAGGCCATTCCCAAAGGGGGATCATTTCTCGTTTATGCACAGTAGAATTGTAAATGGGCTGATTCATCATGTCAGGCTCATAATTGTGCCTGATCTAGATCTACTACAAGGAACTGCTGCTTTTTCTTTCTTAATCCTTACTTTTGACACTTTTGTCATTTTTCTCTACTTCTGTATGTTTGTCACACTCTTGTGACCTGCTATATCCGGGGTGCCTTGATAGTCGAAGCAGACTTTGTGCTGTTGAAGCTAGAGAGGTGAGCAGAGTAAGTCTGATTCCCTGTAAAGACTTCTCTGGTGACACCCACCCCTTGGCGCTCATGACCTTATGCAGTTGCGAGCGCCGTAAAACCCTCTCTACTATTTAAACTAAAAAAAGAAGTCCAGGACACAGTAGAATCTCTTTGAAATTTGCCACCGCTCCGGATTAAACTTTGACTGCTTCATTTTCGGAATCAAACAGGTCCAATGAAAGAAAATGAAAAGCACTAGGAGTAGGAGAGACAAAGGTCGTCGGGAATGTTACATTTGGACGAACATCGGCTTCATTTTCAAAACGGCTTGGTAATACGACATTAGACACAATCCTGCGAAATTCTTCTCTTACTAATAAGCAGTTTAGGAATGGTTCAACATCAGTTTCCCATACAATGGAAAAAACTGAACCCTCCCGTTTGTGACTTTTTGAGGACATGTTTTTCCAGTTCAAAATGGACGAACTCATGTAACAATCCTCACAATTAAACAACAGGCCTCAGCGACCTCATACAGGGAAAGTGTCTGTTTCTTGCATGCACTGTTCCAAAGTCCTGCTCATTGCTAATGGATAGGTGCCTCTTTACATAAATTGGCTCAGATGTACCTGAAAGTTATGGAAATGGAAGCACGGTTAGGTTGATTTAAATCAGTTGATTTTTTTATATTTAAATCAACTTGATTTTAAAAATAAAAATCAGTGATTTAAATCACTTTTCTAAAAATTTATTTTTATTCAGTTTTTACATACTTCAACATTAGAATTCCTTTCCTTGGTTTCATAAAACAAATATAAGGTTTAGTAAACTAATATTATCATGCTTAAAAGTCTGCTTTTCCCCCTTTCAATGTAAAATAGTACAGTATTCAATTTACTTTTTTTTTCCATAATATAGATATCTAATTGAAATCAGAGCTGGGTTGATTTAAATCAGTTTATTTTTAAAATTTTAATCAACTTGGTTTTTAAAATAAAAATCAGTGATTTAAATCACTTTTTTTTTTTATGTATTCAATTTTTACATTTAAACATTCAGAATTCCTTTCGTTGGTTTTATTAAACAGATGTAAGATTTAGTAGACTTATAATCATGCTTAAAAGTCTGCTTTCCCCCCTGTCACTGTAAAATAATAAGTATTCAATTTTTTTATTTTTTTTCATAATTGAATCAGGGTTGGGTTGATTTAAATGAGGTCGATTTAAATCGGTTGATTTTTAAAAAATTTAAATCAACTTGATTTTAAAAATAAAACTCAGTGATTTAAATCACTGTAAAAAAATGTATTCTGTTTTTACATCTTTAAACATTCAGAATTCCTTTCCTTGGTTTTATTAAACAGATATATAAGGTTTAGTGGACTAATAAAAAATCATGCTTAAAAGTCTGCTTTCCCCCCTGTCACAGTAAAATAATACAGTATTCAATTTACTTTTTTTTACATTATTTATTGAAATTACCATTTTCTTTTTCTTTTTAGACTACCACAAGCGCGCGCGCACACACACACACGCACACACACACACACACACACACACACACACACACACACTGTTATAAAATGCAAGTTTATCTATGCATAATTTACCCCCCCCCCCCCCCCCTTCCTTTTAGACTGACATTTTCTTCATTTTAGTCTGGATGTAGCCATAATAATTCACTGAGCAGATTAAGGCTTTCTTTTGCAGTTGCTTGAATTAATCATTACTTAAAATAAAGACAATGCATTTTACACTGAAAGAACATACTTTTAGCCACCAAAAATCCCAAACTGTCGACATTTTAAAAAAAAATAAAAAAAAAATTTTATATCCGATTTAAATTTAAAAAATCGATTTTTTTATATTTTTATTTTTAAAATTTAAAAAATCACCAACCCTGAATGGAAGGCCAGCCACTTCACTCAGTGATCAAGCAGGATAGAGGAACTCGGCTAAAGAGAGGTCAGTCATGGATGGCACAGGCAGAAGAGTCTATGAAGAAGGTGTGTGAGTTACATATAAATGATGGCAATGAGTGGATTCAAGTGTCACAAGAGGCTGCACATGATCTGACAAGAGTCATCATTGGTGTAAAGAAGGGAGATGTACTGGAGGTGGCAGGAGCAGCAGATTTGGAAGTAAAACAGATTGTCGAGGAAAACTCCAGGCTCCTTGATCCAATAATACACTGATGGTTCTGTGAAACATAGGGATGAAAAGTGGTTGGGGCTTTGTTGTACATTATAAAGATGGCCACTTAATTTAAAATTCATCTGGTGCATGCAGCGAGACGACTTGAAGCACAAGAATGGAGGTAGAGGCTGTGACAAAAGCATTTGAATGGCTAAAAGAGAGCTTGAGTTCTGCCAGACATGCTGTCATTGTCACTGACTCAAAACCTATTGCAGAGAGTCAATAAGTGGATGCTGAGAAAAGAGTGGCTGCACAGCCTAGAAGAAACCAGACGGAAAAATAACATGGATCTATGCTCCAAGCCACATGGGTGTTGTGGAAAATGAACAAGCAGACAAACTGGTGTGCAATGCACCTGTAAATACTGACATTAAAATGGACGAAAATTATGTCATGAAGGCCCTTGCCACCACACTTGAAGATGAGGAGATCGAGCATGACTATGTGCCAATCTTACGACTTGAAGAACTGGGTGTCTTCAGAGGAAGTGGCAGAACCAGTATGGTACAGTTTATTAACCAAATGAACACCAGAACGATTAGTAGATGGACTCTGAGGTGGATATTGGAGCAGGGAGAGGAGCGTATGGCAATTCACTGAGTCCTATGATGTTGTTCCCAGGATCGAGTAATCAAGTTACACCGGAAACAAACAGCTTTGTTGCTTGGAGACCAAACCCATTACCTGCACGAATTTCCTTGTTACTTTTTTCACCCAGAAAAAACATGGACTTTTAACATTTTTTTCAAGCTTATCAGAGATTTCTCTTTATTTCTTTGCACTCTTGTACCAAAATAAGTATGCTTGGTGTCTTGTGATGTTTGTAGTTGACATTCAAAATAGACTAGAAACTTACTAAACAGTACTGGTGGAATGACCCATATATATATATACACTTAATTTAGAGCTCACATTGAAAACAAATTGCTCATAAGTAAGAAACTTACTTCAAAAATGAAAACTGGTGCCTGTGGTGTAGTGGTGAGGCACTTACAAAGAAAATGTGTCCATCTTTCTACTGAGACATTTTGTCCCTCTCAGCCCGGGCTGGCCTGCTGGCAGGTAGAGGTCGAAGCAACCTCTGCCTCCAAAATAATCTAATTAATAGTGTCTCTATAGAGATATAAAACTTCTACAGTTACATCCTTTCAATCTAAGATGAAACTTAGATTTGTTGCTGATGGCATTATGTTCTTGAGTTTCAGGGCAATGATGCTCTAACTTCTGAACAGTTTTTAGTTAGACTACTCTTTTCTTTGAATACTCACCATTATGGTCATTTGTCTTGCATGACCTCTAACTTGAGGTTAGGGGTTAGAAGTTAAAATTATGAACTGTATCTCTAGGCATAACAGGCTTTTCTTTGTACCCACAACCACCTGTCAACCTGTTGTCCCTCCCATTTTCCTTTACTATGAGAAAATTGTCTTGCTCAGTAAAACATAATTATTGCATGTTAGAGTAATATATTTTTATAAGAATAAGTACCTTTTTTTCAGGGAAAGATCAAGTGATATTTGCTTCAAAGGATGACATGGTTCTACCAAGCAAGGCCATAATCAACTTGGAGGAAGATGAGGAAGATCAACAGCCAGGTAAACTACTCACCTTTTATGCTGTTCATTTTTTTATGTATATATATATATAAACTATAAGGAAATGGGGGAGGGGAGGGGGGTGAGTAAAGAACCAGCCTTTATTCATGCTGTTCCCGGTGCCAGGACACTATGACTCTTTAGGCGATCACAATTTTAGTCTTCAAATAAAATAAACTTTTAAAGTTAGTTTACTCTTTACTGATTTCAGAAGGTATACATTTGATGGTTTTTCCTCCTGTTATGCTGTAATTCATTTTGAGGAGAAGAATAGCATGGTTAGTTTTTGCTTTGGTTGGTTCAACATAACAAGATTCTATATATATATATCAGTTCTCTGGAGCAAACATTCAGTAACAGCATTGTGTATTTTTTGCAGGCCATTGTTTTGTATATATTTGTAATTGTCACCCCTTACGACATCCACTCGTGTAAAAGCAAGAACTTGCTATCAAACATCTCATTTCTGTAAAAATGGGTCAACATTCTTTTCCTCAACTTTTTCAGAAATATATGGGGTTTTTTTTGTTGTTCTTGTTTGTTTTTTTAGGGATGGGGGGTTGTTTGTTGTTTTTATTTACATTGTACTAAAGAAACCTCGGAATTTTAAAATATTTTACGGTGTGGTTTATGTTCAAGTTCTCTGTGTTTCATTCCCAGACATAATACTAATTGTTCAAATCTGCCTCTGTATTTTCTTATCAATAACCACAGGTCTGATTCTGGCCAATGGCGATATCAACTGGGACTGTCCTTGTCTGGGTGGCATGGCCACCGGTCCATGTGGCACCGAGTTCCGATCTGCATTCTCCTGTTTCCACTACAGTCAGGCAGAGCCCAAAGGTTCCGACTGTTACGATGCTTTCCTCACAATGCAGCAGTGTATGGGCCAGTACCCGGAACTCTACCCCCCGGCAAAAGAACAGGTTAGCGAGGAACTGGATCAGCTGGCGTCTGCCTCCGCTACTGAGGATGATTTAGCACAGATTCCAGGGGAGACACCACAGTTACAGACTTCGGAGGAGGAGAAATCGTGATAGAAAAATGTTTGTACAAAGTTAAAGCAGTTCCACCACCAAGCCATTCTGTGACCTGAGAAGAGAGCATGAGAATTGAGATTGCCTATGATTTGAATTACTTGTTCATGTTTTATTTGATGCCATAAATCAGTGCTTACAATTAACTTTTTTTTAGGTCATATAGCCAAGTGGGCTTGTGTAGAGACTAGTATCATGGCTGATTGGTGATAATGACCCATTTATCTTTTTATTGTGATTCATGATGACGAAAATAATAATATAAAGGAAAGTTTTTTCGATGTGATGAAATAATTCCAATAAAAATTTGGAAAACAAAAATATTCATAAGCAGTGAACTTGGTATCAAATATGTCTTGGTGTGACTTGCAAATGAATGGGGTTAAATGTGTGTCAATACCAAAAATGAATGAGAAGTATGCTGTGTCTGTGATCTAAAACTAAAGGGAGAATGTTTTCTGTTGAATAGTAGATAGCTGTAACCAGCTCAATAGATAGGAATCCCTGTCCAAGGAAAGTGTTCTATAATGCTCTGGCTATATATGTTGTTTAATTAAGTCGTTTAACATGAGGTTGACACATCAGAAAGGTATACAATACATAGGGAGAGACTTGTATATGTTACGAATGTGTAGTGTGTACTGTAGTTTTTCTGGGTACATTGTGATTGATCTTATCATATCAGATGAGAAGATAATCATCATCATCATTGCCTTTCTCACCCTGCACCAGGGTATAGGCCACGGACAAACACCCCCCACTTTTCTCTATCCTGGGCTAGCCTCTTGATGTTATTCCATGTCTTCCCACTTTTCTGTACATCGATTTCTGTGATTCTTCTCCAAGTTCCACAAGGTCTTCCCCTTGATCTCTTGCCCTGTGGGTTCCAATCCAAAACTTTCTTTGTTATGCAGCTGCCTGACTTCCTGAGAGTATGTCCAATCCATCGCCACCGCCTTCTTCCTACCTCATCTGTGACTGGGATCTGTCTTGTTTTCCTTAACACTTCCACATTGGTGACCCTGTCTGTCCATCTGATCCTCAGTAACTTTCTTAGACACCTGTTCAAGAAAACCTGGATCCTCTTTATACAAGTCTGCGATGCGTTCCATGCCTCACATCCATACAACAGGACCGACTTCACGTTTGAATTGAAAATCCTCAGCTTTGTTCGAAGTGAGATCTCTCTGGTCTTCCAAATCCTATCCAAAAATATGAAAGCAGCCTGTGCTTTTCCAATGCGGGACTTTATTTCAGCAACTGTTCCTCCCTCTCTGTCAATTATGCTCCCAAGATAACAGAAGGATTCAACGTTTTCTAGGGCCTTTCCTTTTATTGTGACCTGCTCCTTTCGTTGTGCATCTGTCCTTAGTACCTTTGACTTTCCGGGGTGGATCCTCAATCCAACAGACTCCGATAGGCTGTTTAATACTGAAGTCTTTGCTTGTATCTGTTCCTGGGTGTGCGACAGAAGCGCCAAGTCGTCTGCGAAATCCAGATCGTCCAACTGTGTCCATGGTGTCCACTGTATACCATTTCTGTGTCCTCTGGTGGTTTCCTTCATTAGCCAGTCGATTGCCAATATGAAGAGGAACGGTGATAGTAAGCATCCCTGTCTCACTCCAGTCTTGATGTCAAAGCTGTCTGTGAGCTGGCCATCATGTACAACCCTGCAACTTGTCCCTTCGTACATGCTTTTGATGAGGTTCACCAACTTCTGTGGGATTCCGTGGTGTCTCATTATCTTCCATAGTGTCGCTCGGTCTATACTGTCAAAGGCCTTCTCGTAGTCAAGGAAGTTGACAATCAGCTGGGAGTTCCACTCCAGGGACTGTTCCACAATAATCCTCAGCGTGGCAATCTGGTCGGTGGTTGAGCGATTTTTCCGGAAACCGGCCTGTTCCTCCCGTAGTCTTGGATCCGTTCCTGTCTTGACTCTTTCCAGAACGATTCTGTTGAGAAGATAATGCGTTGTGCAAAAATAAGTACAAGATAAGAAATGCTTTTAAGTGGGTGGGAAAGGTGGGTTTTATGTTTTCTTTAGCATCATTTTAGCAGTTTCACTGCTATATGACGACTTAGCAGAGGTCACATGACGTTTTGATAGAGTGAGCTGACATGTACCATATGTGGGCATAATATTTTTTTTCTTTCTGATCTTTAACAGTTTGCTGGGGAGTGCTACGAAATTTACTGTCTTGTGATAAATTTTAGTTTAGTTGAAAGTGTTTAGCAGACTGGTTTATCTCAGCTTCATTAATTTTTGTTACTATTTTATTTTGCAAAAATAGGTAATTAAAAAGCCACGTTGTCTTAATTAATAATAATTTTGGGGAAAAATGTAAATTTAATAATGCTGTATTAATGTCTTTCTCAGAACAGAAATTGTTTTGGCGGTTTGTATTTCAGCTTAAGTATGTTTCGTATAATGTATATTGCAAGGGTACTAGTGTTTTTCTTATTGTCTCGCAAACTATTTTTGTATGACATCTAATAGTGTGACGGAAATTGTCTCTCATTTCTTATCAACTCTTAGATATTTGAGTGTGTCAGGGTTGAAACTCGATACAGAATTTTTGCTTCTTAGTCAAAGCAAAACGGCCTTCTGTTGTAAGAATAGTGCTCGAGGATCAAAATGTGAGAGTGCTGTGCTTGCACTGGTGATTGATGTGAGCAAAATGGAGTGTGATGGAACAGTGTATTTATGTGTACATTTATGCATTTTTGAGTATCATTCATAGTCACCATCAACACCACTGGCACCACATTTCTGGTATGTACTGTGAATAGATGTAGATAGAAAGTGTTTTTTCACATTTCCTCCTGGGGTTTTTTAATCTTCATCTCACAGTTTTCATAGAACTTTTCATGTTTTAAGTAAAATGATTAATCTGTTGAACCCTGGTTGCTTGTGGTGCCCTGCTGTCTCATCATCCCTGGTCTTCAGGTTGATGGCTGGGTTTTGCACACCAGAGCTGCGTAAGTTGGGATATGATAGTGATAGAGCATTTTATATATTTATATTATATAGGATCAAAATAAAAGGTTGTGTTGAGGTAAAAATGATATTCACCTCTCGTAGGCGTGACTTTTCGTGGTCAGTGGTGCCACTACATGGATAACTTAGGATGTAGACTAAACTAGCTATTATTAGCTTCTGGTCTCTAAAATTATGCACTATAAAATTCGTTCTCATAGGTTGAAACAGAATTATATTTTTGTAATAAATACTTTGTTCATCATCATTGAGTAACCGACGAACTGATATCAACATAATCAACAATGAAGTGATATCGCTGTTACTGATACGAGGGGTGTTTTTGTTTTACCCATTTATCTATTCTTTTCACCGATGTTTACCTAGAGTATTGTTATTTTTAGTTCCTAGGTCAACTTTTAGATAAAAAAATCTCTTCTCATCATCTTCATCGTACCTTTTTTAAATTCATGGGTGTTTCCCTTGACAGACCGAAGTATTTATACATTTTATGTATTATTTATTTGTTTATTGCTACTCTGAGAATGATAGTATTGATAGCCAAGCAGTTCTGAACAATTCTCCATTGTAGGGCACAATAATTGACCTTGACAGTCTGCTCTTAGGAATGTGGAGACAGTACTATTAATGTACTATCATAAGTGTGTTACACCTACCATTTTTGTACTGGTTCTAGGTGTGTGCTTAACAAAATGTTTATTCAGATAAAAGGGAAAATTCTTTGTTTTAGTTCTATTGACTCTTATTAAGTAGTTTCCAGTAAACTTGAATTAATTGTTTTTCCAAAGATGTTGTTTTTATTTTGTTCTCAGGGGAAAATGATTCTTGGATGAATGTAGTGTATTCTTGTGCTTTTGTTTCTTTAAAAGGTGGGGGGGGAGGTGAACTTATCATATTGTTTTTCCGCATGCTGCCAATGGGAACCATGTACCTTAAGTTCTTTTTCTGTCTGGAAGGTTGCTTTAGCGGATGTCCAGAGGGTGCCGCCAGTCACAAGTTTTTCTTTACTGCCATTTTATTTGTTTCTTTCTTTCCTAGAAGTCTCAGAACAAAGTAGTAGCGAAGATGTTTGAATCCTCTATCAGTTCAGTAAACTCTTGTGAGGAACTCGTCTCTTATGCCAAAGTAGGCCTACCTTATATATGATGTAGCTGAATCCCAAGTTTGTTTGAGCATGGTCGTGGATAACCTTTGAGTTTTCTCTCATGCTCAGGTACATGAGTTTGGCATTCTTAGTTCTAGAGTAGGTGGGGGTACGTGTACCTTGTCTTTTTTGGATACATGCACATATATGATATGGTCTTGCACATACATGACATAGCAAAACGCACACAGAGTGAATAATGTTAAATATTTAGTAGATGCTCTTTCTGTACTGTCTGTGGTGTCATGGTTAGCTCCATCTTTGCCCACAATTGACCAGAATTTGGTTCCCACACGGGGATGTCTCTTTTTTATCTACTTGTAGCATATCACCATCTTTCTGATGTGACTGTGATGTCGTATCCCTCTTTGCCAGGTTGATCCTGACTGTCAAATTCAAAACAGCCTGTGTACTAACAAAGTAACGTAATCTAAATTGAGTTGATGTTGATGGCGGGTAAATTCTCGAGGTTTGGGTGGGTGGCAGGTGCTCAGGTGTAGTTTACTCCTTTCCCATCAAACGTTTGTCATCCTTATCTCTTATCTTTCTTTTTTTTTGTGTGTTTTTCTCTCTCTTGTACTTGTAAAGACATCTAATATTCAGCACCTATTCACACATTTGACTTAATGCATTGTGTTGCGGGTGTCATTTATTTATATTTAACTGTAACTAAACTATAAAAAAAAGGGGGAAGGAAATGAGGTTAACTGTGGCTCTCAAGAGAAATTATCATTGGATGCGTTATGATGACACCAAAAAGAGATGAACCTGGGTGAAGCTGCTTCTCTTCGTTCTCCTGAAGTTGTTGGTGTGATTCACGTCTGCGCTGCCTCCCAAATGACACAAATTGTGACGTACAGAGGATGGGGAAGTGAGTGTGGGAGGGGTCCTTTAAGTTTTGAGCACATGTTATGCATGACACAGTAGGCAACGGGACACCACTGCTGTAATTTCCCTAAAAAAGGCATGAACAGCCAAATTCATTCAACGAAGCACACGGGTAGACCCAGAACAATCTACTTGGAACTTGGAGGGTCCAAACAGAATAATGGGTGACGGAGAAATACCAGAATAGTGTAGGTTTTTTGGGGGGTTTTTAGAGCGTCCCACCAAGCAAGGCAAAGGAATAATTTAAACTTTAAACGGATAAACTATGGTCGCAGATTTGGCACTTGATAATACATGAGTGAGATATATATGATATAATTTATATTATAAATAACATGGATGTTATGTGGGTTCTGTGTGGAAATGGGGTTGGTGG